CACCTTTAATGAAGTGTTCCGAAAACAACTCAAGATTTTAATAATCAATAAAACTTTGTTTTTATTCCTCATGAAGCCCATTTATCTCGTTTCCTGTAATAGATATTAAGAGTAAAAAATGTTTATCATGATATAAATTTTTTATCAGTTGACAGAAGCGGAGATAAATTGGGTCAAATTTAAAAGTGTTGGTTATACGGATATGCAATAGCAAAATTAGGATAAAGAAGTGTGAGACTTCTAATTTGGTAAAAGAAATCTTGATAAATCACTGTTTCTTGTAGTGCTTGAATTTGTAAGTTGTTCTTATATATTCACTTCCCAGTTTAATAATTCATCTACAGCAATCTTTCTTGTTTCTTCACAAGACTGCTCCATTTCAGAAGACATCATCCAGAGAAAGGTTCATATTCGGCCATGAGCTTCTAGTTAGCATTTAAGAAAGCTTATTCTGTGATAGATATCAAGAAGTGATAAACTGACAAAATGTTTCTTGTTTTATTCATAGCATTTTGTTAGTCAACAACTTTTTGATACCTCTCACAGGAGTGGAGATAAATTGGCTCAAAGCTGGGAGTGTTGGTTCTACTGTAATATAAAAAGAACATGGGACTAAAGGAGTCAGAACCTCCTACTGTTTCCAATCATTTTTATTTTCATGAGTTTTCTATCATTTTGGTTTCAAATCTGGTCAATCATTTACAGTAATCTTTCCTGCTCCTTCACGAAATACTCAATTTCGAAAGACATCATCAAGAAAAATGTTCTTTTTCGATAATGGGCTTCTGTTAAGGATTTACGGTAGCTCATCACGGAACCTTAAAAACTTTGTCCACTGGTCCACCGGATCCACTGTATTAGACAGAAATTTGGTTTTCAAAAATCACTGTTCTAAGGGTTATCATTTTTCATGTGTTTTCCCTCATTCACTTTGAGATCTGGCCTATCGTTTACAGTAATCTTTCCTGCTCCTTCACGAAATACTCAATTTTAAAATACATCATCAAGAAAAAGGTTCATTTTCGACCATTTCATTTTCCCCCATCGCAAAACCATAATTACAAGGTTTGGTTTCTCAATACATGAGATGTGTTTTTCCTTCTTCTTCTCCCTTGACGTCGTTTTGGTATAATTTGATGGTGGGGATATTGAAAAAAGGAAAACGAGAAGGAGCTGTGGGAAGAGGAGAGGGAAACAAATGGGTACATATGAAAGGGATTGGGAGAAATAAATACTTGTTTGTGATGCAATAATTTTTGACAAATCTCTTGACTTTAGAAGATCATAAAAAATCGATTTGGAGGAACGAATCACCCTCAAAACCTGTAATAGAAGAGCCCTCACACTGTAAAATTTGAGCAATGTTATCTTGGCTCCTATGCAAGATATCAAAAATATGTCAACTAATGAAATGTTTGGGATATTATGATAAACAATTTATCAGTTGAAAACTTTTTCATATCTTTAACAGGAACCGAGATAAATCGGCATGAATTTAGGGACCCTTCTATTATAGGTTTTACGGTTATTGCTTTGAACCAAATAATGCAGAAATATTATTTTCAAAAACGATTTCATTTATTTCGCACGGGGTCACAGGGTGTGCGGTTTTGAAAAAAACACGTTTCGCTCCAAATTGGCAGGGATTCAAATTTTTAAATTTTTTTAAGAGCCAAGTTGGCTGCGCAGCGCGTGCTATTTGAAAAAAGTCGATACGGAGTATTTTTTAATTTACAACTTTCAATGAGAAAACGTGAATAGTTTTTAAACGTGTCGCCCTTGTTTCTCAGCAGAGTGTTCGAAAAACCGAACACCCTGCGACTCCGTGATTTCGCCAAGTACAGTAAGCCCAAACGATTTGTGTAGAAGAATTACAGTAGTGTCATCTGAAAACAATTAATAAAAAAAATCTGAAATAGTTTTTTGTCAAAATCTGAAAATTAAAATTCTTGAAAACTGATTATTACTCAGAGTAATTTACTCTTGTCCAAAATCAGAAAAATGATGAGAGCGGATATTTTCATTCTAAATTTCACCATTTTGTCGACAACATTCATGGTTTTTTTTCAATGATTTTTGGCGTTTTAAATCATTTTTCTTTGATTTACATCGAAAAAACGGGGAAAATTGTCGAAAAATTGACAAAACTGAAAAATAAAACTTAAAGTAGGCTTAAAAGATACGGTAATTCGCAATTGCGGCGTTCAAAAAAATTTTTAATAGAGTCCCGCTCTCATCGTGACCTGATATCGAACAAGAATAATAATTCCAACTAAAATACTACATCATAATGCTTAATCGTTGTAACTAACCCCTGTAACAGGCTCCACATTCAACCACTAAACCTGTAAAAAAAGAAAAAAGAAACTGAAGAGAGTGGGATTCGAACCCACGCCCCCGAAGGGACTGGTGCCTTAAACCAGCGCCTTGGACCGCTCGGCCATCTCTCCGTGCCATACCTGCAGTCAACATAGTGTATAAGACTCATATGTTGCGGGTGGTTGTTTGACAAATGAGAGTTGGCAGCTGCCTTGGCATTTCTCTCTCTTTTCCATTCGATTTGTAAGTATTAGTCTCTGAATGAAAAACAAACATTTGGACCTAGTTATTATTGTTATTATTATAATGAATCTGCTTCTCGTCTCGTTTTCGAATAGACACTGAGATTATGTAATTGTGTACAAGCTCGAGTAACCTGACTCGCATTGCTCATATCTATTTCGTCGGTTTGTATTATAATAGGTCATTAGGTTGGAGCCAGACATACCTGGAAAGAAAAGCGAAATCGAGAAATGGGGATTTTGAAAAAGTTTGTAGTTTTCAGATTTTTTTCGCACCGCCGATAATCTCAATTTTTCAGAAAATATGAACTTCAGGAGTTGTTGTTTTGAAGATTCTTCGATTTTCAGAGTTTCGGATGTTTCATTTGAATTCCAGACTTCAAGAAAATTTCAGTTTTAGAACCTCAAAGTCTTTATCTTTTCAGAAGTCCAAATTGCAGAATTTATAGTTTTTGCTAAAATTATAGAAGAATTTTTTTTATTCCGGAATTTTTATTTTTCATTATCCTTTAATCGAGTATCGTATTTTTCTACTTTTCCTTTTCGTTTTGATCTATACTTGCAACCAATGAACCGCTACGCACACGCGACGCAAGCACGCGACGCAAGCACGCAGCGCGCGCGTGTTTCTTCCAGCCAAGTGCCGTTCTCGTCTCCTATCGATTCTTATCTCTTTTTCTTCTTTTTCAGGTCATACCCTATTACTCTTTCCCTCTTAACATTCTGAATCATATCTTTCATAATTTCCCAAAATCGTTCTGCCACTTTCCCAGCAACAATCCATTAAGATCATTTTCCTTTTCGCTTGGCATTCCCTCTCCTTTTTCTTCTTGCATCACCTACCCTCCGCTCTCTGCGTCTCCTCAAAATTCACACTATTTCTTTGTTTCTCTCCGGCTGGTGCTAGTACACGACACGACCCCAACAAAATCGAAAATTGAGAATGTTCGCTCTGTGGAGACGCGGCAACAGAATTGATTAATGATACTTTGATCCCTACTTTTTTCTGGAATAGCTCTTCAAAAATCGATTCATAATTAGAAAAACGACTTTCGATTCGAATTGTGTTTCTAGCAGAATTGTATTTGATAAAAATTCGCGAAAAGTAACTATTTATCGATTAGAAATTGTTGTTTTTGTAATAAGACCCAACTTAATTTTTTTGGCCAGTAATATCGATTTTCAGGAGATGATTGTCTTTGAAAACTTCAAACGATTCGCCTGAAAACTCGAAAAATAATAATCAATAAACAACTACTGTATTCGTGGTAGGACCCAACACAAGTTTTGTCGCTATACGCCCTCTGGTGTCGATTTACGAAGCAGCTTTTGTAGTTTTTATCGCATTTCTTCACTTTTTAATTGCTTTTTTCAATCGAATTTGTAAAATTAAGTGAATTTTCAGCCGAAAAATGACTCCTGAAACAGAAGAGGATGCGCGGAAGTCGATGAGAGTCCGAAAGAAGCGAAGCTTTGGCGACGATTTTGTGGATCCAACGTCACCGGATTACGCACCGAAATCGGCAATACCTAAACGGAAGGTAGTATGATTTTTATATAATTAAACATTTAAATTTTGAATTTTTCCAGAGAGAATCAACCCCGAGACAAGAACCCGAAGCGGCCTGTTCCAGATCTAGCTCTTCATCTGCTGAAAACAACATACACAAAATATTAGCAAATTATGACAAAGAGATGAATATATCTGTTGAAAGTGATGGAAATCGAAGAAGCGGGCGAGTCGTTCGGCCATCCGCTAAAATGGCAATGGTTGAGCAAGATGGACAGCTGGCAGTGATGAAAGCTAGCGATCAGAATGAGGTGAATATTGAAAAAAAGAAAATTGTGGTTGAAATTAAAAAGAAATTATATTTAGGCAAGTAACAAACATTCCAAGAAACCGGAGCTGACAATGAGTGGTCTCAAGGAGATTTTGAATCGATTTCCTGTAACTGATGGTGAGCTTTCAGATTTTTTTCTAGATTTTAAATTAATTTTTACGCCTTTTTAGTGAAAGAATTCATGAAAAAAACTCAATTTTTTCAGTTAAAGGTGAAATTTTCAGTAAATCAAAATGTGTAGAAAATTATGTAAATTCATATCGCAACAAAGGAAAAATTCGCTAAATCTCGAAATATCGCTGAAAGTTCATTTTTGAAAACATTTGGAAGGTTCTCGAATCTTTTTTAAAAATTCCCGCCAAAACTGAAAAATCTGAAAAATGGAGATTCTTCTTCAATTTTTTGCAATATTTTTAGACGTTTTAGATTTTTTAGGTTTTTCAGCTATTTTTGAAGATTCTTTTTCGATTTTTCCGAATTTTTGTCTGAAATTTGATGGAACGGTGTTTGATTACTGTAGATTACTGTAGACAATTTTCTTATTAGTTTTGTCTGCATTTTGACGTGTTTGTATTTGCAAAATTAAACTACAAACTACAAGATTTTCTACAGTAATCTACAGTAACCAAAACCTCGTTCCATCAAATTTCAGAAAATAGCTGAAAATCCTGAAAGGTCTAAAAAATTTTCGAAAAAATTAAAGAAGAGAACATCGATTTTTCATTCGAAAAATCGCAAAAAACATCTATTTTCGGAGTTTTCAGTATTGGCAGCAATTCAAAAAAGATTTCAGAAGCTTCCAGAAGTTTCCAGAAATGGACTTTTGGTGATTTTCGAGATTTGCGGGTTTTTATTGGCAATTTTTCTCTCTTTAAATCGTGTTTTTCGGTTTTTTAGTGAAATAATAATAATAATATATTTATTTGCAATGCATGGGGGGAAATCGATAGATAATTTGGCAAGAAATGGGACCTGTACAAATAAAAAAGTAAAATGACCAGACGGACCGACTAGAGTCCTGTAGGACAAGTGGGAGGGATCAGAATATCATAAGGAATCGCTCCTACTCGCTTAGCAAACGCCACCGGACTGAGCTTAGAAGTTATCACCTTACATACACGGTTCCACATAGACAAGTTTCTGTGAAGGAAACAGTCAAAGTATTGACCGTTGATTTTGAACAAATACGGGGCTCTGTTAGAATGGCTGGGAAGAATGTAGGACGACATAGAGGGAAAATGGTATGAGTTTATAACAATTTTGTGATAGGTACGAAGAACTAGAAGTGTGCGGCAATGAAGGGTGGTTAGCATAGAGAACTGGGATAGGCGATCGGTGTAAGAATTGAAGGGCATATTACATCTCTGAAAGACTTTTCTGGTGAAATAACGAAAAGGAGATTCTAGTTTATTGGCAAGTGTGGCATTGGATGGATCGAAAAGTTCACAACCGTATTCGAGAACCGGTCTAATGTAGGTGTCGAAGAGACGGAAATATAAACAAAGGTTTTTCGATTGGAACGTTTTCAGTATTTGGCGGGACTTGAGTTTAGAAATATTTCATGAAAAAGGCCCAAATTTTCCTATTTTTCAAGCTAACAAAGCTCTCCTTCCAAGTATTCAGATCGGTTTTTACGACGATCAGCTTCTTAAACTTTAAAAATCTGAAATTCCAGCTCCACCCGAACCGGTACCTCTTCGCGTCTCGTATAGCTCCAAAGGCCTTGCCCAAAGTCTGACCCCCGAAGAAGACAAAAAATTGGAAGAGGAAGCCCAAGCCCTTTGTGCCAAAATCCGAGATGCCAACGCCATGAAAATTCTGGCAAATCGTGCATCCGGAAAGCAGATGACCGGGGAACGAAGGGCTGCTCATGATGCCGAACTGATGCTCTATGCAACAAAAGTCAAGAATTCTAAATTTTGCGGAGCTCCGTTGTCGAGCTCGACGTCTTCTGCTTCGACACCTCCTCCTCCTGAGCCTAGGAAGAATCCAGCGAGAGCGACGAGACAATCGATAAAATTTTATGAGGGATTTGATGAAGTTCGACCGTTCGAGAAGAGAGCAGAAGCCGGGCAGGATTCTCCGATAGAACCGAAGTCTGAAGCTCCAGCTGTTCAAGAGTCTTCAATTTCAAATCAGAGGCTCCCCGAAAATGCCCAAATTCGAGCTCCGGTTGTTCAGAATCCGCCGGTTAGAAGACCAGTGCAAAACCATGAAATTCTCCATAAATTCCAACGCACCTGCGACCGGTAGAGACGGCTGCTGCTCCTCAACCCTCTGTCCCTGCCCCTGTTAGTCAAGGGCAAAGCCCATTAAAAGTAGTGAAACTAGAATGTGATGAGGAGTCAATGGAGATAGAAATCAAGCCAGAACTATTTTCCCCGGTTCCCAGAGCAGCGTCAGAAGAATCAGACTATCTGGGTCCTCCATCGCTATCGCCTGCTGTCCCGATTCAACGAAACAGCCAAACAATTGCTCATGCACCACTTCTTCCAAAGAAGCCATTGGTGAAAATGGTCCCGGCCGTTCTTCGCCCTCCAGCACCTCCGATAACCACCAGACCCCAATGGCCACCGGGATCCACGACAGAAACGACTACTATAATCCGTGGACCTGATGGAAGGATTCTTTCGAAGCGAACAGTTATCGCGAAAATTAATGACAGACGAGCAGGTCCCGATATGAATGGTAAGCACCTACTGATACTGATTTTTTGACATTTAAAAAACCCAAACCACTGTGTTTTTTTCTCATTCTAGGTCATTTTACCATGGTGACTTAGAAAACCTAACTTGCAAAAGTTAGGCCATCAAGTGTATTCGTTTTGAACATTTTTTTAAAGTCGTGTCGAAAGGATACACTGGGGGCACCGATATTTTTTGAAAAATTGAGAAAAAACACAAAGGGGGCATAAGGTATTTTATACACCTACTGATATTTCAGTGCCTGTACGAAGAGTTGGGATAGCTCCGCCCCCGGGAATGCAGTTCCGTGGACACTCTTCGAGACTGACGAATTGGGATTTTGCTCAAATGGAACAACTGGCTTCGGAAGTTGGGAAGAAAAAGGAACGGCAAGGAGAAGAAGACGTTCCTCCTGAAAAGCGGGATAATCAAACTTTGGCTGATGTGCCGGTAAGTGAATATTCATTTTGAAAATAAAATAAAAAAAAGCCTAGAAATAAAAAATTACAGCCTCATCGTTGGAAGTTTCCAGTAGCGCAAGTCCCGGGACCACAACTTCATGAAGCTCCTGCTCTTTCGAAGCGGCTTCTATCTCCATCTGGAACAAAACGAGAGATTGCTCGCCGCCGTCGCAAGAGCATCTCTCCACGTCGTCTTTTCCTTGGAGCCGAAGAGCCAATCAAGGATCTTCCCGACTCCAATAATCGCTCCTCATGGTTCACACAGAGAAAAGTGTCGTCGTTCGGAAAAGATCAATTGAAAGCGTTCGGAAAACGACCAGCTGGAAGTATGGCAAATGATAAGATTGTGTTGAAAGGCAGAAATCTTTCGAATGTTTTGATTGAAGCACAAGACACGGAAGAGGAAGAAGAGGGACAAGATGATGTGGTGAAGGAGAGAGTCAAGGAGTTGGTAGAGTTGAAAAAGGCGAAATTTAACGAGCAAATTCGACAGCAAGAGGCAAATGCTCAGAAATTGATCTTCAATATGCCCCAAGTTTTTGATTATATGCATTCGGAGAAATTCAAAAAGATGGTGGAGCCACCGGAGGGTTCGACAAAGTTTCGACAGCTTCTGAACTCTCCTGGATCTTTCGAGAAGATTCCGGAATTCAGTGACTCACTTTTACACTCTAATCCTGATCTATACGATAATCTAGAACGGATTTGGGAGAAGAAACAAAAGGAGCGAAAGCAGAAGCCACAATTTCCCACGGCATCAAGGCTCACAGAAGAGAAATTCCTGAAATTCCGAGAGAGATGGAGTTACAAACCTGGTAAACCATGTGGACCAGTTCAAATTGTGAATGGAATTGAAAAGGCGACAAAGGAGAGCACAATCAACAAAGTGTTGACTGGAACTGTCCGAGAGCTGGACTGCACATGGAAATCCATCAAATCGAAGATTCCAGAAGTCATAGAGTGTCATCTGTGTTTCCACACGATGAAATTGTGTATGAGGAAGTCATCGTATCGGGGAGAAGTCAGAGAATATCCGGCTTATAGGTAAGAAGAGAAATACAGTAATACGATATACAAAAACGGTGTTTCTAGGTCATATTGACACGGTGGCCTAACTTTTGGAAGTTGGGTTTTCTAGGCGAGTATGGTAGAAAACACACGAAGGGTCATTGTAGGCCATTTTAACGTGGTGGCCTAGAAAAGTCAACTTGCAAAAGTTAGGCCACCGCTTCAAAATAGCCTAGAAAACACACCAGGGTCATTTTAGGCCATTTTTAGGCCGAAAAAAAGGTCGTGGCCTAGAAAACTCAATTTGCAAAAGTTAGGCCACCACTTCAAAAATACAAAAAATCTTATGGACCAGTACTGTACATACTCCCCAGAAAAATACTTTTAATTTTCAGATGCACTCAAAAAGGCTGTCAAACATTCTGTTCCGTTAGGAAGGTGCTCGGCGAGAGTCTAAACCAACAGCGTGCCGCCAAAGAATCCAATCTCGTTGAGCCGAAACAAGAAATCGATGATCATTCATCCGATAATGCTCTTCAAATAGCACTGAGAATACTCGCTGAATGTGAAAGAGCTTCATATGGAGTCGAACAAGAAGATGATACGAATCCAGGAGCACCGATGGGAATGATGAGTTCAGAAGACGTTGTGATTCCGATGGAGCCTCAGATGGCAGGGAGAGAAAAACGGATTCGTAGGAGCAAATTTGCGGATATGTCGAGAGATTTTGTGTGCGAGACGTCGGCAGCGGAGATAGCACGGAAGGATCAGGAAGAGGGAGAAGAAGAGGAAGAAGAAGGATATGGAGAAGAAGATGAAGAACAAGATGACTATCCGATGGAGGATCCGCTGGAGAATGAGCAACGATATTATGATAATACGCAATTCGAGGAAATTGATTATGATGATCTATAAATTGTTTTTTTTTATGGAGTATTTCTTCAGGAATGTTTTATCAGTATCCATTTTTCTTATCTCTAATTTCCTTTATTTCATTTAAGGATTCCAGTTCGGTCGGTCGAAAATCAGCGACCGCTGACCGACTGGTCTGCTGGGTCGGTGGGTTAGCTGAATTCCCTACTTAATGGAAGCCTTTATCCCATGCTCCGAATCTCCTCTTCAACACTGGTTTTCTATTTTTTTTTAGTTCTTTTTTTTCTTTGTAAAATTATGTTCTAATAATTTGTTGATGAATTGTAATCAGTTTTAATCGTATCCCATAAACCGCTGTTATGTTTTATGACCTGAAATTTTCAAAATTCTAAACGAAAAATGTCTATTTTGACCAGTCCTTTTGACGCGGCTTTGAGAATTTTGTCGAAAGATTCCTCGAACATTTTTCGAAACAAAAACAATTTGACATGGCGGCCTAACTTTTGCGAGTTGGATTTTCTAGGCCATCAGCTTTTTTTGACCTAGTAATGGTCTAAGATAACTCTGGTATCTTTTCTGGGTGAATTGAACGTGTTGGCCTAACTTTTGCAAGTTGTGTTTTCTAGGCTACCACCTTAAGGTGGCCTAGAAAACACCAGGGGCATGTCAGCCCATTTCTACATGGTAGCCTTGAAAACTCAACTTAGAAAAGTTAGGCACAACTCGATATGGTTATTGTTATGCTGCAAAACCCCTCTCATTATCAATGCAAATATGATTATCATAATCAGACAAAAAAAGGAAATCGCTTTCCACCAGATTCTCAACCACTTTCAATCGGAAAGAGAACAATGAAAATGTTCCTGGTATTCTATCTGGTATACTGTATTTTGACCCGAAATGTCTCTGGATCCTGTTACCAGAATGTTCCAGCCACGAATCTGTCTACATTGACGTCTACATCGTCAAACCCGACTAGTTTAGAATCTACGAATTCTACAAGTAAAATATGGAGAAAGTTTATGAAAAGTTTGAGTTTTAGGTTCTTCTACAACAGCAATGACATCCTCTGAATCCACGAGCACTTCTGCATTGCCTACTTCCGCGTCTGCATCATCTGAATCTATGCTGTCTTCAACTACTGGTTCATCCTCCAGTACCATTTCTGAATTGCCAGATTCCACGTCTATAATTCTATCAACTTCTTCTACGTCTTCACCCACGACAGCTTTAACCACATCTGAATCGCCCGATTCTAGGTCTACGTTGTCTTCTACTTCCACGACGGGACCATCGGAATCCACAGTGTCTTCAACCACTTCTACAGTTTCATCATCTACTTCGGAGTCTACGTCTTCACCAACCACAATTTCAACGACTTCTGAACTGCCTACTTCAACTACTACAGGTATTAGTGATAGGATATATTCAAAACTTTTGAAAAGTTCGAGTATTGAAAATAGTTTAAAAAATTTTTCTGTTTCAAAATCTCTATAAACAAAACCAAGGAATGTATCAAATAGTGCACGATGGAGAAACCATGAAAAAAATGTTCCCAAATTCCAAAATTTCGCTATTTGTGTAAAAACAGGTTTTTTTCTCAAGTTTCGATGAAATTGATTTTATACGAATTTTTAGCGAGAACTCACAGAATTGTTTGATTTTTAAGAAATGTTCGGAAAAATATAAGAACCCCTCTAATTGAGGAGCCCCCGTAATAGAAGGGCCGGTTTTTCTAGTACAGGTTTTACGGTATTTCAGGCCACCACTGCTAGCTTAATTTCGAATTTCTGCAAAACTTGATAGTTGAGACATTTAAAAGATTGTTCTGTTTCAAATTTCCTATAATCCAAACCAACGAACACAAAATAGTGAGAGAGCGAGAGTAAGATACAGCTTTAAAGGGGGACTCCGACCAAAAATTTTTATTGCATTAAAGGTGGTGTACGGTGAAAATTTTTATTGCTTCATTTTGTGCAGAAATACATGTAGATTGACATAAAAATAAAGAAAAAATTCAAAAAAAATTCCTTCATCGCGAAAAACGCATCGAAAAATACGCTGAAAGCCCTTAGGGACGAGGTTTTTTCTAGGCCGCCCGGTGAGTGAAAGCGCGCGAATTCAAACTTTTG